CTCTCTCTCTCTCTCTCTCTCTCTCTCTCTCTCTCTCTCTCTCTCTCTCTCTCTCTCTCTCTCTCTCTCTCTCTCTCTCTCTCTCTCTCTCTCTCTCTCTCTCTCTCTCTCTCTCTCTCTCTCTCGACGATAATTAGCCGTCGTATTAAATCGGTTGCAATTTGACATCTCGAAGAATTTTTCTTTTTTTTTTTTAATTAAAGAACTAATGCGTTTCAACGCACGCGCGAAAATTTTTTTCTCGGTTTCATGCGTTAGACAATTTATTTGACGGATCGTATTTAATATTTTTTCGAAATTTTGTATAATGTAATATCCAATGTTTATAATTTTATATGTTGCGATTGCTTTACGTGTGAAGCTCTAGGTGCAATTCGAAAATGGTATTAATTATGTGAAAGCATGTGCTTTATATGTTTTACTTAAGTTTATAGATCTTTTTATTTTCGAACGTAGAAGTAGTTTTGATATCATATACACAATATAATATAGACAATGGTATTACAAACAATTAAGAAATATAATATAAGAAATGTAACAGATATATGTTAGAAACTGTAAATATGCAATACGAGTTAGAGATTTGTTTGAGAAAGATTATTAAAGATTATTTATTGTCACGAGAAAGAAGGTGAGAATGGTGTAAGAGAAAGTTCAAAATTGATATTTATGTGCATCAGTGATCAAAGGAATATTGCCTAATGCACTATTATCGATGATGTTGTTAAATTCCAAATTATTTAGTGTACATGTGGAAATTTCATAATAATAAACACAAACTATTAGCAATTGAATAGAAGGCAGCAGAAGAGCTGAAGTGCATTCTCAGCGTTCCTCTTCTCGTCGAAAAGTCTTCTATTTCCGTCGCGCAGAAGTAGCGCGAATCGATGCGATGGTTTCATCTCCTCACCACCTACATTCACATGAACCAATATTGCCTCAACATTCTCACGAAGGTAACTCCGGTTTCTTACGGTGGAAAATAATATCGTGCATACCGCGAAATTTGCCTCCCGCGTTCCTGGAGATGTCGAGATTCTCGTCGAAAATTTTCTTTCCAACCGACGCGATTCGAGCCGAGACGATCGCTATCTGCGCGACTTAATGATCCTCCTGTGTGGTACCGTCGGCTTGTTCTTGTTGGCTGCGAGCTCCAAACCACCCCGCGTCAGCTGATTGAAATCGATAATGGTGAGCCGCGGCTCGGCGGCGGGTCGCCCCGTCAGGGTCTGCACCCTGTCGAGCGGTGCCCCGGGGCTCCGGAACCTGTAGCTCCGGCTTTTGCACCCGCCGCCGACGCCCGTTCCAGTTTCACTCGTGATTCCGGTTCCGGGCTGCTGTCCCATCCTCGTACCGCTCATCGATCGGTAACGAGCGCTCGGGAGCGGCTCAGGTTCCTCCCGGAAGTACCTGACGATTCGGCCCGGGATTAATCGATTGTAATTTGCCTCGATAAATAATACGCATTGTTTTGCCCTGAATTCGAATTAACGTTTTCGTGCTTCCAAAAGAATCTTCCCTTTGCGTCTAGAAAATTGTTTACCAGAGACCTACCTCCCCATCGATTTTGCCTTTTTGTGTCACGAAAATATTTGGCCTTCGCGATTGTTTGTTTATATCCGAAAATAAAAATTTATTTTGATAAATCATATTGGAGAAATGATATTCTCCCTTCTCGATCTTGACTCTAATATAAAAATGATTATGATAAAATTTTGTGACGTTCTATGCGACCGAGATATATAGATATATTAGAGATCATGACTTTGAGATGCACGATATATTGAAGTACACGTGTATCAAAATAAACGGGTGCACATGTATTAATATATTCATATTTTATTTCGTCCGATTATTAATGAAGAACAAAATATCCATATATATTTGAGTACATTTATGAAGCAGATAATTTATGAAACAAACATATAATTTTCTAGGCTGCAGGTAACAATATAACAGACGATATAATTTCAGCTATGCAGATATTTTGTTATCCATTAATAATTAGACGAAATGAAATATGAAATTTGCTTATACAAGTATACTTCGATACTCTATCCGTGTATTAAAAATTATACGGATTAAAACACAGATATATTAATTACACGTATACACGTGTATATATAGGTACACGTGAAAAAGAAATCTCTAATGTATAATTTGCCCGAAATATGTGGAAAGATTACAATAATTACTCGTAGATACTAGCTAGATGCAAGGTCGCCGGAGTTCGAACTGTTTTCGGTCTGGGCTCCCTCGGAATTCGATGTCTCTGCCGAGATTGACGCGCTCGCCTGCTCGATGGTTGATCGGGAAGCCCCGAAGGGATAAGCCCGGTGAGCTTGTAATATTCCAGAAAAACACGTGCCAAATTGCGACCTAGTCTGTAATCTGGATTTCATTTTGATTATTAAGGATCTAATTTTCCTTGGATATTTAGATGTCGGTCTATGTCGACTTCACACTTTCTTACAATCATGTGTAATTAATACGCTCTCATACAGAGCGAATTTTTTAGAATAGAATTCAGATTTAAAAAAATTTAATTTTGATACGATATATCGTATACGATAGCTTTAATCTCCGCGCGTGTTTTTTATATATGGCGGTATGATGGTAACTGATTTTGATTGATGATCACGAAGGATACATCCTTCTTCTGTGTACGGCATTATACCGGGTATTCCTTTCTTGTTGTAACCGTACATGGAAACCTCGATGCTGTAGCAGTTAACGTGCTCCTTTAGGATAGAGCACAGATAGCGGCGGGCAGTCCCGGCTTTGTTGTGATCTTGATTGTACATGGTGTTGCCCAGTTCATAGTCCTCTGCGTGTTGAGCTAGCAATTTCGGCAGGACAATATGCCTCTCGTACCTGAGAGGCTGGCAGCCATGAGTCAGATTGAGTTACAAATGCGATTGACGTTAAGTTCCTATTTCCTTCGGAAGGTAGATCGATCCGATTTTTTTCGCATTTCGAATTTGGCTTAACGAGACCGATTTGGGATCGTTTGAAAAGGATTAGAGTTACCTGTAGACATCCTCATACGTATTTCCGTAGACGAAGACACCTGTGGCGTTGGTGTGAGCGTGTAAATCCAACACGCAATCCAATGGCGTGTGTGAGTTTTTATCGAGCGACTTCAACATCGCTCTGGTCGCGAGCAGAGTGGGGTGAATCCACTCGGAGATACAGTTCCAGGATCGATTCAGGTCCAACCCCATCACGGTGGATCTTAAAATGTTCATATATTATATTAGCATCTATAATATAAAAAATCTTCTTGGAAGCAAAACTAATTTATTTGTAAAATTATTTTTTATCGGATTTTTAATCCGAATTTTAATCCGTCATCAATTGAATTGGCGTGTGGTCACGCGGAATATAGTCGAAAGTTGATTTCGTTCCCGGAGAGACGAAACCATTCTCACCTGTAATTTCCAAGAAAGACACCGTCGGGATTCAGCATCGGCACTATCTTGAAGATCACGTAGTCTCTTAGAACTTGAGCGATTGGATGCGCGCTGACCAAGAAGTCCATCAATCCCTGACACACGAAGGAGGACGGTGACTCGCCGGGGTGAACTCTAGCGAGGACGACGACCACTTTTCTAGGTCGTTCTGTGTCTTCGAGGTCGGAGGTTATAGTCACGAGCTCTACATTCCTCTTTTGAATCGACTCGGCCAGCGTCTCTCTCTTCGTGTACAACAATCTGCTACACAGATTGTCGAGATGCACCATGTAACGTGTGTACGAATACGGATACGTCAGAGCGAATTGATAAACGTCGTCTTCGCGATCAAACGCGAAAGCGAAGCTGAGCACATAATGATTCTGATGCTGTGCGGATTTATAATAGAATACCTGCAACAAAAGGAATTTATTTTCAAAATTTATCTTAAAATTTATTTTAAAATCATGTTTCTTATAATAAACATATTATTATAATAAAGATATTGATTAGTCGAATTTACGATGGATATCAATGTAGCCAATCATCACGTTAATCATCAATCAGTCTTAATCACCAATTGATTTTAATCATCAATCGATCGATTTGCGATAATCCTAATTTAAAACACCGCTTGATAGAGTATCCGCTTGATTGGATATCACAGAAATATACTCTAGCTAGTTTCTATAGATTTAATTTGACGATATTGCCAATAAATTGAAGTGTCTATGTTAAATGCGCGATAATAATTGATTAGATTTACTTTAGATTGATATTGCCAATAAATTGAAATTGAATTGTCTATGTTAATTGCGCGATATTAATTAAATTTACCAAGTTTTGATACAAACGTACGTTTGCATATAAAAATTGCAAATTTTAAATATATTAAAAATATATTAAATATATTCAAAATATATTAAATCATATCAACAAAAATAAAATAATTTCTTAAATTAATTTTCTTAAAATAACAAAATGTAGCTTCTAACGAACATATAAACTTTAATTAGTAGGAATTAAAAAATTATTCTTTTTCAATGTTCGAAACTGAAAATATGTCACATAACGATACGTTTAATTTAAAATTTATAAACTAGAAAATTAAATTATTGTTGTAATAATTATTGACTTATCAAACTCACATGTTCTCGCGGTATTCTCTGCCACTTTGGTCTAGTGCTACTCTTCACTAATGGTGTCATTCCCTGTCGGAAGAGGTTCGCACTCTTAGAGATGTTAACGATGTTGAAAATCACCCGTTGATCCGCTTTCACATTGTCCACGGTGAAATTAAACCACAGGCGTAACCTGGGCCCGCAGGTGTCAGGTCTAATGAAGAGATCGTACTCGAATTCGGAGATCAAGTCCACCCTTCCGAGATTGCCGGTCTCAAAGGTCGCGTCAAAGCAGATGTGGCCTTTCTTGGCTTTGCCGCTGTGGCCAGGTGGTCGCATTACCATCTTGTTCACATTACCCAGACCACCCTCGGCATCGCTATCTTCACTTTCTGCGGATAATGGGGAGTAGGATAATTAAATAAAAAGATGTCACAAAAAAATAACAATGTTAACAATATCGTTATTATTCCACAATCATAAACGACTCGTAATTTTAATATGATGAATTTAACGCAGCGGTGATAATTAAAAAAAAAAAAAAAAAAAAAAATAATATAAAGACGGAATGACGGATCTGACCAGCACGTTGATAAAGACTGGTATGTTCCAAAGGATCCCGTCCCTCGCAAGAAAAGGCCATAACTCTCCAAATGATACGAAACAATCTACTATCGACAATGTGACATAATTCGGCGGAACGACAAACGAGTCGCCTGGACGATCGAGGAGAATAAACTTGGAGCAAACGACACTGTCCGACCTGTCGGGAAGACAATGAGGTACTGACGACCCTGTGAGATCGGCTCTACACCGTGGGTACGTGTTACCGCCTACGTGATAAAAGTGGAATCTCACGATTTCGCCGCACGCTAGCGCTCGCCTTCGTGTAATCTCGCCTGGTTCGCGATCTCGCGTGAACGAACACTACGATTTGAGTCCGTGCAAGAGAAATGGGAATCGGCGAATTTCGTGGCGAGAATTCGCGTGGCTACCAGGCGTCAAAGATCTCGTACGTGCGATCTCTCGACAGGCTGAATACTCCCTCGCCCACATCGAGGCCCGCGCTAAACCGAGAAAACTCGTTTGCGGTCACGAGATCCGGGCTCACTCGGGGCGAGCTCGGAAGTCAGCCTCGCTCTTTGATTGATTTGATTCAACAGATGGTGAGATTAGAGTGGATCGTGATTGAGAGACTTGTCGAAAGTCGCGATTGTTTTACACGAATTAGAAAGTTGACGATCGGGAATGGATATAGTGACTTACGTCAGTCCTTATCTAGAGGACGATTAACTGTAGCTAATATATATTTCAGAATTCGTTACGCTTTCCGTTGCTTTCTCTCTCTATATATATATATAACGTTTTATCAAATAAAATTTTGTTATAAAATTTTTCATGAAGTTTATAGAAAATTAAGTATCTTTTGCTTCATCTATATATGATTTTTTTCGTGCTAAACAATTTTTAAGTTTTTAATTACAATATAATTTATCATTATATTAAAATATTATATTCAAAAGTATTGTATATATATATTGATATTACAAAGAGAGTGTTGATATTATTTTCTTTTGTTTCGTGATTTAATTAACTTGTTTACATGATTGACAAGAGAAATATTAAAAATTGCTTGCAAATTTATAAGAATATATGATATGTTATCATTGCCAGCAAAAATATGACAGAGCTATAAATAATATTTTTGATTATGACGTGTACAAAAAGATATAACTCCGTGTAGAGAAAAATTAAAATGAAAAATATATGATGAAGAGTCGCGATATTTTTTTCATACAAGACAGAATTTCATCAAATTGGTCTTTATCGCAGTTCTTATCAGGGAAATCCTTATCGCACTCTATTCGATATGGCAATAGTTACAGATCTAAATCCAGATCACTCGATATCTATTTCCATCGCATCCGTTATTCGACGACGCAAATGTCGCATTTTATGATTAAAGACACTATAGTCTTCTGTTTCAAGCAAGAAGGGTATATACGAACTTTACTTTATAAAGGGTATACTAACTTTACTAACACAAGATACGTATAGTTGAATCGTCAATGATTCAACGTGCGGAAATAAAAAAAGTTACATTGTGTCTTTTCAAGAAACGTTGAATATCTTGTCTATCCATTGTCTATATATAGTAGTATCTCATAGTGCCACGTATGATGTTTAAAATAGCGTAAAATATCGACTATTTTCGATATTTTAGAGGAAATTTTGCCTTATTGTTAAATTACTATTGCGATCCCCCGCTCACACAACTAATACCTAGCAAAGCATCCACGAAAAGCATCATGGCATAGCGCGCCTGCCTCGGATACCTGAGAATATCTAAGTTCGAATCTCACCGCGGCCAACATCTTTTTTCGCCATCAAACTCAGCACATCTCAGGACAACGCTCCTCGCAAACGCCATACTATATTTAACTATATTTGCACTTAACCAAATTTTTTGCAAAAATTACTACATTTTATTAATGGTGTAAAAGTTTTTTTTTTTAATTTTCTGAAGTAAATCATCTTGTTCCATTGCAATTTGAAGAAATATCGCGATATTCTTGGGAAAATTGGATAGCAACGCTTGGAAATGGCGCTTGAAAAGTGCAAATAAAAGTGGTTAAAAGAGAGAGATATGAAAAACGACGGAGAGTAAAAAAAGAAAAAGGGCAATCGTGCAATAATATGCAAAGTTAAGTTTCCGATAATTTTTATTTTATGCTCGAAAAAATAACAAAGATCATCTTTTGTATTTTTATTTTGATTGCTATCGATGACAATGTCCTGAGTAAAAATTGATAAGATGCTGTTATTCCGTCGAAAATATTTACAAAAATCACACAAACTATTAAATTATTTTACGTTTTATACGTGAGATATAAATCACTTTTCTAATGGCAATAAGTCATTAATAAATAATGGATTGCGAGGGAAGAAACACATACTCAGATCTACCAGATATGATCATCGTTTTTCTGGAACTACTAACATCTACCAGCAATCGGTTCCCAACGATCGATATCATAAAGCGAAGAAAAATAATAAAAAAAAACCTTCACCGGAAATTGTCTTCGCAAAACAATTCCATAATTTCCAGATCCCTCGAGTAATTCGCATATACGCTTCATCTGCACGTACAACGCGTTCAATTAACGAAACTTTCAGTCGCGTTTTCCGATTTCGCGTGCGCGAGGCGGCTCGAAAAAGCCGTCAATTGTTACGTTCTTTGGAATCAACTCGACCTCCCCGAGTCGGGTGATTGACAACCTATGTCGGTGTTCGCCTACAGCACCCGGACGGGGTAGTTCCGAGTCAGTGCGAGATGGGAAATGTCAGGGTGCAATCAGTGAGCCGCGTGATGATCCTCGCGTGACCTCTCGCAAAGTGGATCTGATCGATCTGACGGATCGCGAGCGAGATCCACTTCGAGAACGTGTGCGGACGCGTCCCGCATGACAGGTCGACGGCGGTAGCGTGTGGCAATCACGAACAAATTCTGCTCCGAAAGCGACGTATAAAGAGCATGCATGTGGAATTACGTACCGGTATCCTCGGACATGTCGGTGGGATCCCGTCGTTCCGGACTGGACCATGCGAACCTTTGCACGACTTTGCACACTGGGCGACACCGCCGCCGAGTCCATCCTGGTTTCCTTGGTTTGTTGAATCGATATGCAATACATGTTCTCGAGCAACGCTCTCGGTTATCTTCCACCGGAAGAACTGGAACTCTAGATAAACTGGTAGATGACACGAATTTGTCTTTAAATGGCACGACCCGAGGTCTACTTCGTCCGAGTAAATTAAATTCGCGGCTCGTTGAATTCTATTTATATAGTACACGGCTGACGTATCTCTTCGAATTTTGTTCTCCTAAACTGGAATTATTTGAAGTTATTACAAACTTTTTGGAATCGCAGACGAGCTTAAAAGAGCGCTCTTCAAAGAGCGACATTTTTATTTTAGTCTTGTTTTTCAAACAAAGAACTGCATCTGAGTCTTGCGTAGGAGTGATTTGTCGCGATTTGACTTATATCATTGTTAGAAAGAATCGGGTGAAGAATCAGGTTTGAAGAATCAGGTGAATTTTTCGAACGATCGATAACACAACTGGAAACTAACTCTCCAAAATAGGATTCTTATTTTGAAAACCGATAAGAGGACTTTGTCACGTTGAATAATTATTTTTAACAGCAATCGCAGAGTTAACCAAGTTGTTACTCAGCGCTGAAAATTAAATGGTTTTACGTAGCCCTTAAATCAGACGCTAATTAGCAGCCAGTCACGTCATTTCCGACTTCTACGTAGCCCCGAGGATAGTCCGTTTTCCCCATAATTTTGCTGGATGGTGGTCCTTATATAACGCTTAGAAGGAAGATGAGGATAGAGGGTGGATACGTAATTTGCGCGCATGAAATTCAATCGACAAAGAACCAACGTGCAGTAAGGTACATATATGTGTTACACACACACCCCCCCCACACACACACACACACGCGCGCGCGCGCACACACACACACACACCACATACACACATACACACCCATACACACACACCACATACACACACACACACACACACACACACACACACACA